CACGTCAGTGCTCCGAATTGCGCTCTTCAGTCTGCTGCACGTTAAACAGATTTGGTGGTGGGTTTTCCGATGGAATCTGATACACACCTTCCATTCATTAGCGACACTGAAAAATGCGCTTTTCCCTGCAGGGGTTTCCCCCTTAGACTTGGCATAAGCCTGATACATGAGAAACATGTTCATCCAGCAGTTGTGGGGGAGTTCCTTCATTGGCAGTCTGTGAGGATCATGACTGCACGAGAGTTGAAGCGTGGGACCCAGAACACGGGCATCGATAAGACGGTCCAGAAGCTCTTGTCGCAGAACTTCGTCCGAATTGCTGAGAATGGTGTTGGACGCTATCCTTGATGCAGTCCAAGTTCGTGGATCAGTACATAAGTTTTTCTAGCTACCATGTACACTTGCTGCCGGTAAGTCACGCTGTTGGCATAGGTTCAGAAGCTGTGAAATACATGTGCTGCAAGAATGCATGTACGGAGTCACTCTTGATTGATGGCGCGCCACGAGGCCCTGAGGAGCGCACTGATTGACCGTGATGCGTTTCACACTGGCACTGGCTCTTATTGAGAACCCAAAGTTTGGGAACCCCCAAAGTAGAGCCATTTCGAGGAAACACCAAAACGTTAAGGTCCAACATGGTTAAGTCAAAGACTCCACCGGGACCACTCAGGGTACGAAGGTCTGTCCCCTTGAAAACCTTCTTGCACCGGGCCATCCTGCGCTTCCCAATCCTCAGGCTCAGAAATGCAGACTTGCAGACATAGTGGCCTGTGTGCAGTTCCGGGAACAACACGCAAAGTCTTTTCAACTGAGATTTAAACAGTGGTTTGCTTTGAAACTCCGTTCCTTGGATATACCATTGTCTTCTCTTGCATCCTCTTCCACCAGATTCATGATGTAAACTCCAAAGCAGGGAATCTTGTAAGCTCTTGGTCAAAGACCAAAACGTTGAGACAATTCTTAGAAGGATTCCCCTGGGAACCTGACATCTGCACGGGCAACTAGGGTTGCGGAGAGCTTCAGCTACCCGTTCTTTGGAACATCCTGTTTGTGCATACGCTGATTCCGAGCAATCCCCATAGCTGTTCTGCAACGACTGCAATCGCTCCAGGGTTAAATCCACCGTTCGCGGGCCACCAGTCATGGAATCATCAGAGCCGGGGTCACTGTTTGTATCAGAATCTTCGGAGCCGCTGTCACCATCATCAGAGTTCCTGGCTGCTCTCCGGTTGTGTGACTTGCCATGAGCTGTGGGGTTCCACTATGGTATAACAGCATGAGCAGTTGATTGCAACAAAGTATCTCCGGAGATGCAGAACTGGAAGAACTGGTAGGGTCATATCGGCAGGGTCCAACATTCACATCCGATTCGCCAGAATCCCACCGACGAAGAACCGGCATGGCACTACAGAAAGGAGTTTTTGGTTAATTTTGAAACATCGATGTGGTTAAACTCACAAAAACATTTAAGTAACAATAGTGTATTGTGGGACTGTCACCAAACATTCGCTGGGTTTGGCTTGTGAACTATCTGGAAGACCCGCCAAATGACTGCAGTGATATGCATTGAACAATCAATTGACCCACCACCTTGCCATGATACCTGGGTTGCATCATGGTGCACAAGATCAAACATACTCAGGTCGAGGTGTAGGGGCTTTTTAATTCTGAATTTCTCGAGTTGCTGCAGCACGACCCTGCTACCCCCACTGCACCACAAACTTCTGTGGATCAATGCAGCTCAAGGCCAAACATATCGAAGCCAGCGCGACCCTCACGTTCATAGCATTTCCGCCAAGTGAATGTAATACCTGAGCTCAGCCGAGGTGTTCACCCCAAGACCCAAGTTTGGCATTCATGTTTTCAAAAAAGACCAGTTGTTGCTAAGTACGCTATCAGCTGTATCATCAAGGCCAGCCATTCGATGGATCGGGAAGCCCATCAACAGGAGTAAATCCCTCCCAGTTAGGAACCGGGACTGCTCTTTGTGGTCCTCAAAGATGACCAAGAATTTGCCATGGGGCCTCGGTAAGGTGCAAATATATAAAAACATTTGCTGGGGTTCCAGGTTTGGACATTTGTTACCCTCAGTCCCTCACGTAAGGCATGGTAAGGGATCATTGTGCGAAGCAATGTGGGGCATACAGTGGAGACTCTGCGATGTATTCACGCACGCTACCTTCTTGCCAGACTTCTCACAGTAGTAGGTTAGAAGGTCCATGGCATGCATTTCCCTTGCCACAGAAATCAAATTGGCTGCTTCTGGGTGAAGTTCACGAAAGCATTTGTTGCTCTTCTTCAGGCAAACCTCCGCCACAGGTGATGGTAAACCGGTATACCATTCAACAAACTGTGTGTGTGTAAAACCATGCACCCAATAAATTGCTTGCAAAAAGTTGACCAACCTCGTTTTCCTTGGCCCAGTCCACATGTTGCTTGATCCATTTCTGCTTGGTGTTAACTTTCCTGGGTCCAGCCAACCAACACAAACCAAGAAACCCAGGCAAACTCAAAGAATGCACGGGTTCAGTCTCAACAAGTGCCAAATTTAATCATTGAACGCAACCAAGTAGCTTGGTTGCATTGCGCTTCCGGGCTTCTATTCGAGCCGCTTTGTCACGAAGAACGACAGGATGGGTCGCTGGTAGAAGCAAGTCACCCCTGGGGTCATGTGCAAAAATTGCTTACTAGTAAGTGATTGCGCACAAGTTGAGTTTGAACATGCGGGAACCCCTTTGGCCAAGAAGCCACTTGTGCTTCACTGCCATACCACGGACTGCACGGTTCATGGCCTTCATTTTTTGGCACATGAAACCCTCAAAGTCTTGACTCAAGCATTCAGCAGTCATTACATCTTGACGAACGAGGAATATGTACAATCTCCGTCGTGAAATAGGGGCAGAATAGTGGCGCCTGAGCACGACCAACATCTGCCAAACATGTTTGAAGGCTTTGGTGCAAAACATGTAGGGTAAACATCCAGAGCGCCACTATTTGCAAACTAGATACGGGCACATGACGACAAACGCCACTGAATACCTTAGAGGCAAACTCTCTGGGTAAATGCAAATTTGATGCTGCCTGCCCTTGCAAGCAGGATACTCAGGCAGGTTCTTCTCAATCACAGCAACCAGAACGTCCACGCAAGATGAAAAGCCCAACACGTTCTCCAGGATGCAAATCTGAGCTATGGAAATCACGGGTTTATGCTCTTCTAGCTATCATGAACATGAACTAAGTTTCATTGCAGGGTGAATGCACATGTGTTCCATTCACTCTTCACAATATTGTCATTTTCAGGTGAGCATCCATGGGACGTACGGCCTTGATATTGCCCAACACCGCCCACAGCTGTGTGGCGTTGGGATCTTGAAGTTGATGTCTGGTATTGCTCAAAAGACTATACGGCTGGCAGGGAAAACCCGCCGTATATATCATCACCTGTCAGCAAAATTAAATGCAGTAAAGGTTCTTCAAACTGTTGCATATGAGTCAAGCCAAACTTTCTCTCTGGCCTTCTCCTGTAGATCCCTGCCCAAGCGCTCTTTGGTGACATCCCTTCGGAACCTTTGCCCAGCAGGCAAGTGGAACACAAACCTAATAGTAGCACAATGTAGCACAATTCCGAGTATAATGGCGACAAGCCGCTGGTGGCACTCAGGGAAATTCTTCACAAGCAGCTTGAACTTGTTTGCATCCAGCTCAGATGCACTCCTTGAAGTATGCAGGGAATTTGGGGGGTGCTTTTGGTTGTAACTTTTTATGTTCCATTGGATGAAACTCGATAATAATTCGTGGCAATAAGACTCGGACAAGTGTTTGAGGGCACCGATCTTTCCACAAGCCTCCAGCAGCATAGTGAGACCCCATAGTGGAGCATCCGCACCACTGCCTCAAAGTCTGCTACTTGGCGGGATGCACTTTTAGTGTAAGCATGCTGTGTTTCACCAACGCAGCTTGGCTGCAATCACTGGCGTAGGTGAATACCCGACCAGGCCAGGAGGAAAACCAAGCTGCGAGACCTGCGGGATAGAAAAATGGGATGGAATAAATTTGCGTTGTACTCAGCACATTCCTAAAAGCACAGCTAGAACCCTTTAGCCTGAGGCTTTCAAAAACAGTGAGCCAATATCCAGATAGTCCAGGATATGTCGGGGCAACGGTAATTCATGCTCCTCTCAAATGAGCCAATTGAACTCCATTGAACTCAAAGCATAAAACGGATGTCCTCATCTTCTGAAGAGTCGATCTCCAAGATGTTGACATCAACCATGGCTCACATGTTTTGAGCTGAAAACAGCTCTGGGACCTAGCTCAGCCAAACAACTCCCAAGAGCCAGTTCAATTCTGGCAAAGAGCTGGTTATCCCTGGAGCTCGCTCATTGCAAAGCACTCATGTGTTTGTAGAAAATCACGCGCCCAATCCGTCCCATAATTGCTCTCAATCATAGCCCTTATGTTCACCACTGCAAGTCTGTAAGCTCTTCAACTCCCAAACAAACCCGCACTTGTCAACCATACTGCTTTAGTTTACAGTCTGCAGTTCACTTTTTCATCACTCCAACAAACTCAAAATTGCTCCCTCTGTGTCAGCTCTGAGCAAGAAGGGCAACTGCCTGCAGGGTAATAGGTTGGCATTTCTTTGAGGAGTCGCATGGACTAAGCTATATATGCATATGTTAATACTGGGGGCACATATACATCAAAGTTCTGGGGCTGATCCAAGTTGGTGCTGTGGAATGGCAAAGGGCAACAAAACATCTACACTTATATAAACATTATTGACAAAGAGAGGACTTGAGGAACATATTCAGACTTGTGACTTCACGCTTTTATTTCTTCCCCATCGCCGAAGCCTGAAATCGTTGACTCGATCCCTCCCTTGTTGGAAAGAACGAGTCCTTCCAAAAGAAACTATGGCTGTGTTGCCTTGTTCATCTCCTATCTGCCTGAGTAAACTGCTTCGGCTCCTTAAACCCACCGCTTTCAGCCCCAGGAGCTGTTCAGGGGTGGCTGGCGCGATTCCTGGCACGATCTCTCCAGCACCCAAGGGCTTGCAACGACCACCGACCTGCGGCTGTTTCTCTTCGTTTTTTCGATGACTCAAAGAGGCTTCGTGGATCTTGCCGGAATGAACATCACCTGCCCTCAAGCCTGTGAAAACAATAAGTACATATTACATATTGTTCACTACCTACAGTGCACATCGTTTCTGGATGCATTTCTTCCCCAAAGGGAAACTTTAAAGCAAAAAATGATCGGTCCAGTAGACCTATGGCCTGCGTCCCAGAAAGAACCCCCGAGGAACCTGGTTCCGTCACATGTGTGGACTGCGATTGACATCGATTGACAACTAGCACCTACTCTGCCCACCTGACCTACCCAATTTTGGGCCACCCGCCCACACATGTGACGGTTTCAGTTCAGCTCACCCCCTCGGTGTCCGAACGCGGAAGCTTCACCGGCTAGCTTCCACCTTTTGCAGTGGGGGCACCAATTCCCCAAAATGGTCGGCTTTTCCCATGTGTGGCAGATGTCCACTTTTCCCGGGGATCTTGCCATGTTTGCAAACGTCGCGCTACACGGCCGCTACACGTGTCTCTGAGGAGTTGTGAAACGCCAAAGACGGATCAAAAGATCCGTAAACAGCACCGCATGCTTTCCGTACAGCACCGCATCCTGCCTGCGACCGCTGCGACGGCTCGTTTCCCCCCCTTTTGCTTTGGGGGTCCGAGTCCTTCTGCTGGGCGGGGCCGCCCAAAGAATCCCATCATATCCACGAACAAAATGACCGCGCATTCAACAACAGGAGGTTCCCAACCGTCCACGTTCGGCAACCTCCTGGCCCCGCCTGTTGGAAGCAGAACTGGTGGTGGGACATGTTTGCAGCCTGAAAAAACATAAAAACAACCGAGCCTACACGGCTACACAACTACAAATGGCTGCGGGAGAGGTTGTGCGGTTTGCATCACGTGGATTCTCTCTTTACAGCGCTTGATTGTTGGTCCCAAAGGCGCCCCAAGCTCATCTTTTTCCACGAGCAAGCAGCACCACTCTTGCTCGGTAAAGTGGCTTCTCGGACTTCTGGGCCTCCTTCACAAACTAGCTAATGGCTGTGCGTAATGTGCATATAATATATATATATGTTGTTTAAACATATACTGTATGACCTTTACAGCCAATACCCGAAGAAAACCTAGGATTCTCCAAAATACCCCGGGTTTTCACTGGGAACCCGGGGTTTGCGTTTTTCATCGTTTTTTGGATTTGAGCACGTGCATACTGATGTGGCAATCTCTTGCTTGAGTATCGAGAATACGGGTGTCAGTTCAGAAGATTTTGTTTATTTGGCACTCAGAAGTCGTTCGGCATCTGACCTCCAAACCCGTGATTTTTTCCACGGGTTTACGGATTGCACGGGTAAATCACGGGTTTAGCACGGGTATGAAAAATAAAGGTGTTTCAAAGATCCGGTGTTTTTCAATGAAATCACGGATTTTCACGGGCAAATCACGGGTTCAGCACTAGCAAATCACGGGTTCTACCTCGCACCTGAACTTTTCCCAATAAAACGTCAAGAAAGTGTCAACAAAACATAGCAATGGAACGAAATTGAACGAAAAAAACTGGATGACCACCCGGATTGTTCAGCATGCAAAGGAATTCAATCAACTTTACCTCAGCAGGCAAATTGAGAGAATACCCGGGGTTTTCCAGGGAAACCCAAGGTTGTTCCCATTTTACAAGAATTTTCGGGGTTTGTCCACATAACCGAGGAAAAGTTAAGCTTCCGGCTGGCGGGGTATATATGTATAGTCTAGTATATATAAATATGTGCGGCATTTATGCATATCTACATGCATTAGCACAATTTATTTTAAAGCATGCGCTAAGCATATGCAGTATACAAACACAGATCACGTGATCACGTCATAAAATACAGGAATGTTTGCAGAATACCATGCTGATCTTTATGTTTGCTACCTTCAAAAACTGTGTGAACACCTATGGGTCCGTAAAGCCACAAGTTTCAAGTGTATTGGAGAAAGAAAAAACTTCCTCCCGGTGCATTCACCCGCTCCTGTCATTTCAACATGGGCTCTGTCAGCGGGTTTCCAGGTGCTTTCTTTTGCTCCTCCGCTTCCGAGCCGCGAGCCGATCCGAGCCCGGCAGGGGTGTGGGATCCATGAAGACCACGATGGCCTCCAACCTGATAGCGATGGCCTCCACCCTAGTACAAGCAATGGCCCTGAATGCTTCCCAATTGACCAACAATCTATCGAACAAATCCAACAGCAATCTCCACTGTGAATGGACTTGGTGCATGGGCAGGTGAGGCAGGTGGCCCCTTCGGGCGCCTTGGCTGCACTCATGATGAGGTGGTTTCGGAGGTTTCAGTGGGCGTGTCGCCCTCAGAAGCGTGGAAGTTTTGATCTGTTGGGATCATCCCCATCGACTGCCTGAACCTCAGTGGTCCATTTTCTGCCACCAGGCTGGGCCAGCCCTGCGTGCGCGCGCGGGCAGCGCCCCGTGCACCTCATACCCGTCCAGTGTCTCTCGATGGGATCTGCCAGGCGCTCTCTCCCCCCCTCGCCGGTCCTCGTAACCTTCCACCGCCCAGGCACCTGAGTCCAAGAGCCGCGCCTGACGGGGGTGGTTCGGTCGGCCCCAAACATGGGTCGGGCGGATCGGGAACGAAGCGAAGCTCCAGTGCGGCTGGTGAAAGCAGTGAAATGGCTGGTGAGTGCCAAGCTCATGAATGGGTTCGTTTCTGGGTGAGCGGGAGGAAACTTCACGCACATTCAAGACTCCAAAAAGGTCCCCCCTCCAGCACCCCTGCACGTTTCAACCTGTTTCAACCAGCCCTCTGGGCATCTCATGCGCTGCGAGGAGGAGCTGAGCGCAGCTGGGGGCGATGGAGTTCGATGGGAGAAACGCCCCCCCCCCGCCTTGGGCAGCCACAAGGGGGTCAAGGGCTGCTGCGCCAAAAGGAACTTCAGCATCGAATAGAAACCACCCTTGTCCATCTCCTGAGCGGACACACCCGGCCACCGCGTTCGCCAAACAACGACCCCTTTTCCGGTGAGTTGAGAACGACACCGAACGCAGGGAAGGTTGCAGGAAGGCCCATATCCATATCGTCCATATCCAAAAAGAACAAACAAAAAAGCATTAAGGCACTAAAGTCACTAAAGCAAGAGCTGGGACCCAGCATGGAGCCGTCCCTTGAGTGGGATGGCCTCCATGTGTTCAATCCTTTGGACAGAATTCCCCCTGGTTGGGAGGTCCTTTTGGGCCACTCAACAGAAGCCCAGACATGACCAGCCAGGAAAACCGCTGGTATTCATAGGGCCAGGAGAAAGAAGACCCTATTTTGAGATGGTTGGTGGTCCAAATCTCCAACCAAAGCGGTCCTTTCGGCCTCCAGCCCAGCTGACCCAAGCAGCGACCACTGACCCAGCCCACCAAGCAGCGAGGACGTTGGTGATGAAGCCACGCCGGTCGGGGCGTTGCTTCAAGTCCCGGACGTAGCGGAACTTCAGGTCCTCGAAGCGCCTCGGGGTAGACGTGCCGGTCTCGGGTCGACCGGGTGGTGTGGACCATGGTGTGGACCAGTGGTTTCAGAGGTGGCACTGGCACCCCGAGAGGTCTTAGATAGATGGGCCCATATAAACCACCCAACTTGGGGGCACTTGTGCCATCTACTCTCAACCCACTATAAAATCAATAATCCTGCCAGAACTTGGTGCTTAATCTCACGGTGTGGCGGCAATGCATGCATTCACCTTGGAAGTCCCAAACACTTTTGTGCCCCCCCCAAGTCACGGAAAGTCCTCTTCGGGTCACCTAAATGAAAGACGAGTGTTTGATGAGCCTTGGACTCCCAGGCTTTATGATTGGAAGGTTCCATTCAACTCATCCTCCCCAATGAGTAGTTCCATTCAACTGGCACCGTGTATACCACCGACCTCCTCTCCTCCTCTGCCGTTCGTTCGGTGCCCGGGCAGGTCGTCCGGCCGCAACAAACCGATGAGGTCCAAGAGCCGCGCGTCGTCCATGCGCCTGGGACGACGTGGGGAACTGCCACGGGGTTCAATTGAAACACCAGCGGTGCGGATTTTGTTTTTTTTTAAGACCAGGTCCACCTTTCTTTTGGTCTTTGAAGGCTGGGGTCTTTGGTCTTTGAAGGCTGTGGTCT